ATCCCCCTAGGGGGATGAACAACAGAAATGTGGGTGAAAGGAGACAGTGGATGGTGTAAGATATGAAAATAATAATAATTTAGAAGGGTTGGAAGCGTAGGAGAGGAAAAAAGAGGAGCTGATACCAAGGGATCAAGGAGAAAGAAAATGTCTTTTAAATGATGATTGCAACATATGAACAAACGTATTTCAAACAATTGATGTATGGATTGTTGTAAGAGCTATAAGAGCCCCAATAAAATGATTTAATAATAATAATTTTGAAAAACCCTTCTCCCTTATTAAGCCCAAGAATCTCACTATACAAAACCTGTGTTCAGACCCTAGTTAGCTCTTCAGAATCGGCAGTAGTTTACCTGCACCAGGATATTTTGCTACATGTTGCTCTTAGGAAGTAAACAAGAGGATGCTCTTGTCCTTGGGGTCCAGGAGTCTGCCACCAAAACACAGGGTGCAGTGAAGAACAAGAGAAACCAGACAAAAGTCAGCAATCCCCCAACAGATGGCCAACCTGGACCATTGGCCAACTTGGCTTTGTGGCAATTATGAGAGGAGTGTTAACTAGAACCTCACTGACATTACTGACCAAGCAAGCGCTCACCTTAAGATCTGATGAGGCTTTTTTCTTTCTCAATTAGCTCTCTAGAACTAAGAACATCTTTGCTCAAAGTATTTACAATGGTAACAGGGATCCCAGGCCAGGCCAAACAAACGAAAACCTACCTTAGATAAGATCGCAGCTGAAAAACAATCTCTACAGTAAGTATAATAAATAGGTGAAGATATGTACAACAGCTCCAGCAGGGGTTCCCTCCCTGGCACAGACCTGAATGTTTTTACCCCCGTTTGTTCCTGTGCCCCATAAGTCCTCAGTTGCAGCAAACTTAATGGCTCACTGACCTATAGGCACATTCCTGGCTCCCTTAGTTTTTCAATCAGGTGGCTCCCCTTGCTTTTGATGCCCCCCTTTTCCCTAGTGTAACACACCCTATCCTCAGACAATATCCAATCAACTCAGCATTCAGGGACAAGGATGAGGAAGGTGTGGGGGCACAGCAAACTATCCTACAAAACAGAGCTTCTGTTTCCTTTATAATCCAAGACTGAGATGCAGATGGAAGGAGTGGAGATAAGAGCAGAGGAGGGCTGTTTCTGACCTTCCCTGGGCTCAGACACGTGGTACTGCCTTCACAGCAGGATACTAAGGAAAATGGAATGGCAGCGAGTCCCTCTACTGTGTAAACTGTAAGGGGCAGGGGCCAGGTATCCTAAACCTTTCTCTAGAGCCCAGCCCTGTGCCTAACACGGCAACGGCATGTGGAAAGAATGAATGATCATGTAAGTCTTCCTGACGTCTAAATCTTGTCATTGTACTACAGGAGACCTTCCTCTTCCTGTGTCACCCGTCTCCTTGTCCTTCCGGCTCCCCAAAGAGAATTCACTGCGAACTAGACTGGCCTTTTATGCTATAACTTGAACTCGTTTTACACCAAAACACTGGGCATTGTGCCTGTGAACAGAAAACCTTCTGCCATCTATCTATCCATGCACCTACCTCCTTTCTATCTGGCCCTCACCATCTCCCTCTCTGTTTCTATCTCTCTCACACACACCCCTTAAGAGCAGTGGGTGTTTAACACCCTGTGGTCAACAAAAAATATGGTGGTTCAAGAGACATCTGGCCTCTCTGTGGGCATGCGGGTTACTCTCTAGGATGTTTCTACACAAAACGTTAAATAAAACTGATAATAATCACTGTTTTAAAGAATGAAAAATGAATACAATGGATAATGTAGGTAACCCGGGTGTATATAGGTTAGGGAGTATTTATATTCAAGAACTTCAAAAACTCACATTCAACTTTTCTGGATTAGATTCATACTTTGAGTCTGGTATGCCCGCCTTAACGCACTCACAAACCACACGTATGCACACTGACATCAGAGCACTTCTTCCTAACAGCCAGTATAAAGTCACACATTGATCTCTCTATATTTTCCTATATTAAATTTTTTTTGAAAGATTAAATTACTTGTTTAAAGTGCTAAAAAATTCATTTAGGAAAGTTGAAAAAGGTTGTTACTCTTCAATTTCAGCTCTTCACCGTTTGATTTCCAATGTACAATACGTTAATGATAAAGTAACCCTTTCAGTACTGATACTCTATGGGCCATGGTTTGTACACATTTTCATAAATTGCTTGGGGTATTTATTATTATTAAATAGCACCATGTGCCTGATGTGATAAGGAAAAATTGGATTTATCCAGAGACCGTGGGCCCTTAAGCAGTATCCCCTGGACCACTAAATATAATCTACTAAGGTATTTCTGTTATAATGCTGTAATGGATCGTTTATTCACACTGAGGTGGACAAAAAGATTAAACTAGAGTGGGGAAAAGTATTTAATCAACGAACAAGGAGAGAGAGAAGTGTGAAGCCACGGTCCTGGGAACAAGAGCCCTCACGGCACAGAGGCTAGCTCGTTTCTTGCTCTCCCTGAATCATTTGCATCCTTTCTGTCACCACAAGCACCAGGATGTCTCAAGACCATTTTCTCTCCACCCATTTTTATTTCGTCCTCTTTCCAAACATCTGACTCACCAACTGGGCTTCATCCTCATCTAACAAGCTGCTTTACCTTCTTTGACATCCCTCCTTCTGATTTTTGTGAAATGCACAGCCGGAGACGTTCCTCTCACAAGAGGAGCAGTAGGAATACATCAGAGAAACTAACAAAACCCAGACAGCGGTGAGAGAAAAAGAGACATGACAGGCTTTGGCCTCCTTATGGAGAACAGACTACATCCCACTTCGCTACTATGCTGGTTAAGAAACACCATCTGCCTAGCCCAGGTAGCTCATTACAGAAAGCAAGTTAGCAGTCTCAGGTTTCGTAAGTGGATAGCCAAAGAATGGGCAACTACCTTCCCTCTGACCTGCCACTGAGAGGTCGCTTTTTCCAATGTTATTTTCTCTTCTCCTTGGGACCAGTATTTTATTATTTTATATGCCTTTCAACGGCTAGTAGCATAAGGCAATTACACACATTTCCCTATTCCATTCGTGATATTTATATACAAACATCCTTAGAATGCAATGAACCATCACGGTAGAAGCATATTCTACCTCAGTTTTTCTTTCTGGGCCTCAAACGATGGGAAAGCTCAGGGAGGACTGAGAAGTCCTGGGTGTGACTGGTGACATGGAGATTGCAGGACTTTACAAAGCCTGAACTCCAAAGTATGCGAAGTGTAATTACTTGCCAAGGAGCTGGTCTGATGTTCCATGTTGCACCATTGTGCAATGGGGAACCCTGATGTGATGTGTAAAGAGCCAATGTGCCAGAGATGAAGGGTAGGGTGCATTTTTCCCAGTTTTTGTTGGTACAACATAATGTCAGTGTAACCGTTTAAAAAGAGGTATTGAGAAAACTTTCAAAGGAAAGGCTCTATTAAAAACTGCCATTTTACCATTTTCAACAGCAATGGTTACCTAACATGCTTATTCCCCAGAGTGCCAAACTTGAGATCATCTATAAAAGAGCACTTCTCTGACGAAGTCAAAGCCACATCAGTGTCAAAGAATCATGCTGTTTCCCACAAAAAAGAAAAAAGAAAAATATTCCCAGAAAACACTTTTCTGCCCAACATATGTTCCATGGGCCCTACTGTATTCATGCTATAACCCCTGTCTAATTTACTGTTAACAACAACAAACACACAAGCTGGGAGACTGGGGGATGTATTTCCATTTGAAGGGAGTAAAAGGTAAAGCTGTATGTGAAACATCAATTTCCTCTGCTGGAATGCGGTGCACTGTTGAAACATAACTAGAAAATGTAAATCATAAAATCATTTCTAAAATCCCTTTCACCTAATTTCCGTCAGAGGCTGTAAAATGCTTTTTAAAAAATCATTTTATTAGGGGCTCATACAACTCATCACAATCCATACATTCGTCCATTGTGTAAAGCACCTAGGTACATCCGTTGCCCTCATCATTCTCAAAACATTTGCTTGTAAAACGCTGTTAAACCACAGGCAACAAAGCAAGTAACAAAGTAAATGAGAAAACATAAAAATAACAGAGTGCCACAATAGCACAAAGGACAACTCATAACAGCTCCAGCTCCCCCACCCCCGCACCCCCAGATAAACGACAAAAGCTATAAAAAGAAAAGTTTGCTGATTTCGGGAAACTATATATATGTAGGCTTCTGGGACAACCTCTAGGTGCTGCTGTAGAAAATTCCTTCCTAAAGACGACTTATTTCTTACCTGGTGCTTAACCTCCCCTCCCCCGGACTGCACTGCAGTGCGCCAAGCCCTTACAGACCATCACTCCAAATAGAGTCACTGTTAAAAGCCTCAAACACGACATCCGTCAACGGGTACGGAGCCAAACCATGGCCATTTTACTTTTCTTCCCAAATTAAACTATAAATGGATCAGCTAGATACAAAAATATATATATATTAGGGTAATGTCCATGAAATCCGAAAACTAAAGAAGTAAAACGAGGTGTGTTCGCCTTGCGCAAAATGACAGCTACCTCCGGAGTCAGCCTCTGGCATCTTTCCAAAGAGAGGACACTCGGTGTTAAAAACAATCCAGGGCATTAGGCACAATTGTGGGTGCGAGCAGGAGCTGTGGGCGGGGAGGGTGATGGGGCGGTTCCTGCAGGGAGCTTTCGGCTGCGTCTGATCTGTCAGCTCCCGCATCCGAGGAGGTGATGGGAGAGATGGGGAATATGCTCGGAGGGAAACCCTGTGTGTGGTATTGGGGTGGGGGTGGGGGGCGGGGGGGCGCGGGGAGCTCAACGTTCAGCTCACAGCAGCAGTGCCGATCGCGGGCGCGCACCCGGGCACCTCGTCCGACCCCCGGCACCGAACAGCCGCACGGCGCGGCCGGGGCCGGGCCGTGCCCAGACTGGGGACCGGCGTCTCCCCGCTCCCAGCGCGCAAAGCTAGGCGGCCATGGGGCCGCCGGATCCTTTACCTGTGACCGTCCAGGTCCAGTGGTAGAGCTCCACGGTGTCGTTGAGCGCCGTGGACATCGCGTTCAAGACACCGCCCGCCTCCGAGTCCAAGAGCCCCATGCTGGCAGTGGCAGGTCTGCGCGGCGACGGGAGGGGAACGCGGAGCGCGGGCCGCAGAGTTGACTTCGGAGGTGACGGCTGCGGGTCCAGCGGGAGCCAGGGACCCCTCTAACGGCGGCGGC